CACCAAGATCGGAAAGCCTTTTTGGTTCATATGTTTCCACCGGGGATTATAAATCCTGCTGTGGAAACTAAGTAAACCATTCTGCACAAGTCAGAAACAAATTCTGGCTACCTCCCAGCAGCTTTACTGCACATGGGGCACTGCCCTGAGTTTAGCAGACCTGTTCTGAAAATGTAGGGTGGGGAGGACTTGTTGTTTAAAAATACATTTAACCTGTATTTGGTTCTCTGCTAGCCTTGCGTTCATTTTCAAATTCAGGCATCACTTCCCTGAAAGTGCAGCTGCCTCTGGTGAGGAGCAATGTAGCTATTTTAACTCATGCCCAGCAGGCACTTGTAACTTTTTTTTTAAAAACAAGAAGTGAGGGATACGGTATTCACTTGAGACCTAGTGCTGCCACTCCTCCTGCTTGTGCCCCATTGAAGTGAACGGGGATGTGCATGTGTGGAATAAGTTGCAGGATCAGTCTTTAAAATGCAAGAGATCCTCAGCTGGTATAATATAACCCTTCAAGCGAAAATCTGGCCAGGGCACTGCAACTAAGACTCTTGTGGTGAAAAGTGCCCTGAGCTTTCCAATAACCTTGTATAGACAGGACGATGGTTTTTTATGTCTCTTCCAAATGCTCTCAAATGCTCCAACTATTGTAATTCCATACCACATTAGAAACTTGAGCAATGACACTTTCATCTGCTCCTGGATAGTCCATAAATACTGACTTGGTGATTCAAACCATGTTTTTCTGCCTGTGAACTCTTGCTCATGCTCGCTTTTCCCCTCGTGTGCATAATTGACTCATGCATATTGGTACATAGGAGACACTGAAAGGAAATATCTTTCCCTCTTCATCTTCCCACCCCCACTTCCCAGGAGAGAACCTAGGCAAAGGAGGTGCTGTGTGATTTTTCTTCCAGAACCACTGAGCAGAAGTAGTAGCACAACAAGAAGACTGCCATGCTTCATTGTTGGAACAAGGCTATTTAGCTGTCTTGCTAAACACATCAAACAGTCATTTCAGAAACAGGACGTGCAGTCTTGCCCAAGATTTTTGAGTCTAAGGGGTTATGTTTTCCTAACGAAATTTCTATTCAAGCATGTTTTGGCACAAAGATATTTCTCTGCTGGAATTTGTAGTTTGAATACAAATAGTTCTCCTCGGCTTTGTATTTATTACAAAGCGTGTAGCCAAAGGTCACAAAAATCTGCTTAGCATTCACTTGCTGCACAATAGGCAGATGTGCACTTTACTATACAATTGTGGCTTTTTATTGTATGGGGGAGAAGTTAAATTTTAGCTTGTAAATGGAAAGATTCATGCTGTCATTTCCCCCCCCCCCCCTTCTGTACTTAATGTTTTCACTGACTACACATTGTGAAAGCAGCACCAGATCAAATCTCACCAGGATTCAGTTTTATTATATAAAGCCAAAGCATTCAAATAAATAATTTGTGTTGTGTTGGTTCACTGTGCCCGTGTAGGCATAAGCCACACTGGGAGACATCAACAAAAGTACGAGTGTGACATCTATTGACAGCACAAGACTAGTATCCAGCTGCTACATTGAGCAGACAGATGATAAACAGAATGGTATGCAATGTGCTAGACTATCACTCCCAGTAATAGCAGTAATGGAGCTCCTGGCAAAAATAAACCTGGGGCTAGCGTAGTCTAAGTGTGATGTTAGAAAACGATTTAGGGGAAAACACTCTGCCTCTGTGTCTTGTCTTTTTTTCCTCCATTTTTATGTTTTTTCTAAGGCATCATTGGGTTATTGACATTAATCTTATTTCCCAATATTACAAAAATCTCTATCACAATTAACCAGACTATCTACATCATTATTAGAATGTATTATTTATTTGAATAATAATAGTGCTGAAAGGGCCCAAGCAGCATCAAACAAGTAGAAAGGCACGATCCCTCTCCCAAATAGTCTAGTAGTCCCCCACCCTGGGAGCCTCCTGCTTCCTGTGCAGGGCAGTGGAGGGAGAAGAGGGGCATTGATGTCAAGGTGCCCCCTCTCCCAACCTGTATCCTATCTCTACAGAGGCAGGGGGGGGGCGGACACGAGTTTTCTGGCTGCTTTTTGGGAATGGTGCGAGGCCAGGACAGGACTGAGCCTGTCTTAGCCTCACTGCATCACCACCCAGGAGCCACCTGAGGAAAGCAGGGCCCATCTGGAGCTCATATCCTGAAACCCTACCCCAGTCATGAACCCCCTCCTGCACCTCAAGGCACTGCCCTAGCCCTGAGCACCCCTGCATCCAAACACCCTCCTAGAGCATGCACCTAGATTAGAACCCCCTCCTGCATCCAACTGCCTGCCCTAAGCTCCTCTCATACACCAAATCCCATTAACCCAAGGCCAGAGCCTGCACCCCAACACTCTGTCCAAGCCTGATGAAAGTGAGACACGATGTGGAAGGGAAGGAGGATGGAGTGAGCAGGGGCAGGGCCTCGGAGGAGGGGCAGGAGGAAGGCAGGGCAAGGGTATTTGGGTACAAGGTAGATCTTGGATTGCACTTATATTCCAAAAGTGATCTCATGCTTGAAAAGGTTGGAGACCCCTGTGCTAGTGGAACCAAAGGGGTAACTGTCTGAAGACAACGGCAGAACACTTTTAATGAAGGAAATGCCTTGGACTGGGTTACTGAATTCAACAATGGTGAAGGCAACTGGGTAGGAAACCTTTGCAGAGCAGGGTCAGGCAGTAGGGTGGCGTAAGGAAATTGAAAGACAATGTAAATAACGTTTGACACTGGTGACATTTTCCTTCGATGTCCCCTGTTACACATTGGTATAGTAGCCCATGGGTACCACCTCCAATGCCCTACCCACAATGGCAGTATTGGAGTCCCTGGCAGCCTTGATGTAAACACCATCACTCATGTAAACGTGTTTCTGTGCTTCAACACTCTACCACAATCTCTGTCACCTCAACAACAGCGTGCAATACAGGGGGACCAGTCCAACCCCTCTCCAGACACATCACCTGAGACTAACAAATCATCCCCTCTGGATGAAGCAGTGATGATTTTTTGCATTTCCAAGACCTCTTTAAATGCATCCTGGCTGAACTCAGTATTCCCATACAGGAGGTGTCAGAGAAGCAGCATGGGTTGACTGATATTGTACTAACCCCTACAACTTCCAAGACAGCCCTTCCAATTAACCCAGCCATTATGGAACCAGCAAAAATGATCTGGCAAACACCAGCAACTGCCACCCCAAAATGCAAGTGAGCAGACAAGAAAGAATGTTCCCCCTAAGGAGTCAGAGTTTCTTTTTACACACCCTGTGCCTAATTCTGTGGTCGAGGCAAGACATCAAAAGACTAAGCAAAAGCACTTTAGATTCACCCCCTCTGATCATTATAGCAAGACGCTGGACCTCTTTGGATGCAAAGTATATATGTCTTCTACACTGCAATTTCAAGTCGTAAATTATGTGGCACTATTAAGCAAATACGATCATTACAGTTATTCCAAACTAAACAATTTTATTTCAGACATCTCTGAGGTGAAAAAGCAGCGATTTAAAGCTGTGATAGTGGAGGGACATATAATCTCAAGGATGGCCCTACAAGCCGCGCTAGATGCAGCTGACGCAGCGGCCCGTTCTACAGTCACAGCTGTAGCGATGTGAAGAGTCACATGGTTTATTACTGCTGCCTTCCCTAGAGAAATCCAGTCCACAGTAGAAGATCTTCCATTTGATGGCCAGAAGCTCTTCACCGCAAACGCTAACGAAGTGCTGCACTCCATGAAGGACTCTCGAGCAACCTTCAGATCTCTGGGCATTCATAATCCTGCAACAATGAGAAAAACACAGTAATACAGATACCAACCATATCCCAGGCCCAGACACCCTCAATACACAAAGCAATATAATAGGATCAACACCAACAAAACCATGATCAAGGCAGGGGCCAATGATGATGCCAATTGTTTAACAACTTGCAGCAATCACAGTAATTGTCTAAGGAAATCTGAGGAATATGTTGAGGGTCATAAAAACCTTTTGCCAATTCCAATGCCAATCATACTATGCAAACTATTTCAGCACCATCTGCTACCATTTCTTAACAATTGGAGAGGGATAACATCTGATAAATGGGTTCTCTGAATAATCAAGATTGGATGTACAATTCCCTTTATGTCATCACCCCCTTCAATTCCCCCTACCCAGTCCCTTTTCAGGGACCACTCTCATGAGGAACTTCTCCAACTGGAGGTTGACATTCTCTTTCAATTGGGACAATTGAGTTAGTTCCCACTCAGTATTAGGAGAAAGAGTTTTACTCTCAGTACTTCCTCGTGGAGGAAAAACTGGGAGGATGGCGACTCATTCTAGATCTATGAGCATTGAACACATTTATTAAGAAAAAGAACTTTAAGATGATTACACTCACCACCGTCATACAGGCATTGGAAAGAGGTGACTGGAGCTCGTCCCTCAACTTGTAAGATACTTATTTTCATATATCTATCCATCCCGCTCACAGGCAATTTCTTCAGTTTGTTTTAGGTATACAACACTACAAGGTCTTACCATTTGGCCTTTCTACTATGCCAAGAGTTTTTTCAAAGGTGCTTTCAGTTGTTATAGCATACCTCCAGAAACAAGCCATTATCATATTTCCTTGCCTTGACGATCGTTTCCTCAAAGAGCGCTCTGAAATGGAGACTCAAAGCTCTCTTTGGATCACAAGACACGTCTTCCAACATCTTGGCCCACAAATAAATGAGAGCAAGTCAAATCTCATACCCACTCAGAGAATTCAGTTTATAGGTGCTTACCTGGACTCCACATGTGCTCTCACTTTTCTTCCTACAGACCATTTTCACAAAATCGTAGACTTGAACAAGCTGCTGCAATCCTCCCTATTCATGCCAGATCTGAATTCCCCACCTCCTTAAACAGATACAGCTTTGTAGTCACCAAAAGTGGAGCACCGATGGGAACATCTTTCTCTCGAAGAGGAGGTTACTCACCTGACATTCTTCAAGATGAGTGTCCCCATGGGTACTCCGCTACCCTTCCTTCCTCCCCTCTATTTCAGAATGTTGGCTTCTTCGATGGGCTGTATGCTTCTGGGGTAGAGAAGGAACTGAGGAGAAGATGGGGCTTGTGCATGCCTGAGGTCTGCCCAATAGGAGCGCGTGGCAAGACGCGCACACATGCGCGAACCCAGGGACACTGGTCTGAAGACTCCAAAGGATGAGCTCAGCGGTGGCACACCAACCTAATGTGGAGCACCCATGGGGTCAATCATCTTGAAAAACGTCAGTTGCTGCACAGATGAGTAACCTCTTCTTCCTGTTTTTCCATGTAAGGTTCTTGACTCTGCTGGAATGGATTGAAGTTTGTGTAAAAGTAATAGAATTAGGTTGTTAGTACAGTTCTGCTTAATGTGTCCTCAGTTCTCCTTTGCTTGAGAGATTCATCTTTCTTAAACTCTCCCTGCTCTGCACTACAGCTGAACAGAATAACATTAGCTACCGCTTGTCATTATATCACTAGTTAGACATACCCTTCTTCCACATGAGAACTCAGAGCAATAGCACTCATTAACTGCCTACATTAAAGCCATGACAAAAACCAGGTTGGAGTGTGAAAACTCATTTACACCTGATATAAGGAGATCATTAGCTAGCTGAACAATTAGAGGGACTGTAAGGCCAAACCATTGCAAGAACTACTGGCTGAAAGAAAAAGGATTCCTATATAAGGTGTCTAGAAGCCATTAACTCATTGCAGCACTGACCATCCAGAGGGTTGTTCTTATGGGCGTTATCCCTAAACTCAATTTTGTATATAAACCAATGAAGTGGTGATATATCAACAACTACTCTATTGTATCCCAGCATGTCAGGAAAAGTCTGTTTAAATATGTTAAAAGGGCACATGAGTTTAGGTTTGAATGCGTGATCAAGAAGTGTTTTTCTTTTGCAGTTGGCTTTCCTCTTCAGCCAGTCATTCAGTCAGCTAGAAAGAGATACCAGAGGAGAAAGTTGGGAGAAACAAAGCGTCATGCATTAACTTCCTTGGGCAGGTCTCAGAGGGGTAGCTGTGTTTGTCTGTATCTGCAAAAACAGTGAGGAGTCCTGTGGCACTTTAAAGACTATGGCCATGTCTACAGAGCAAGCCCGTTATTTTGAAATAATTTTGAAATAACAGGCGTCTCATTCCGAAATCCATAACCCTCATTTTACGAGGAATAACACCTATTCCAAAATAGTTATGTCCGAATAGGGCACGTGTACACAGCGCAGTTGTGATTATTTTGAAATAAGTGCCTGACAGATTTATTTGGGCATAAGCTTTCATGGGTAAAAACCACTTTGTCAGATGCATGGAGACGAAGGCAGGAAATGGCAATGTTGATAACCATTGCTAGTGATATGAGATGAATGCTGTGAGAAATGTCAAACCTTGCATTAAAATAACACATTTGATAGAGGAAATCACCCATTATATTTGCCAGCGTCATGCTTGTTTAAGGGCTTCCATACAAAGCTTTCACAGTAAGACTTGTATTGGATACGGATACCCGAGTAGGAGGTTCTGAGAAGTAAGTTTGTTTTGACGAGTTACCTGAAGTTTTCTCCTCTGTTGGCAAATGCTAAAATAATGGGCTGGTTATTTTGAAATCTGTACTCATGCTTTCCATGGGAGATAACGATTATTTCGAAATAATAAATTTGGAGTAGCGGTAGTGTGGATGCTTTGCTGCTGGTATTTCAAAATAACTACTCCCCAGAGTAATTTGAAGTAATTACTCCCCACTGCTTCCTTGGGCTCTAAGTTAAGGTAACACATCCACAATAACAGAGCCTGCTTCGGACTAATTTCGAGGCTCCCCCATAGTGCGGACACGCTATTTCGAAATAGTCATTTTGGGAGTAGTTATTTCAAATTTAGTTATTTCATAATAATTTCTTAATGTAGACAAGGCCTTATTAAAGACTGTCAGGGTATGTCTACACTACAGCACTAATTCGAACTAATTTATTTCGAATTAGTTAATTCGAAATAAGCTAATTTGAAATAACGCATCTAGACCCAAAAACGAATTCGAATTAGCATTTTGCTAATTCGAAATAGCGCGTCCACACTGATTGGACGCTGGGTTGCATTTAAGGGCAGCTGAAACTGGTTCCAGCAGAGCATCAGGTCAGTAGTTGCTTTGTGTGGCTGCTGTCTGAGGCTATCTGAGGCTCATGCTTAAAGGGACACCCCTGGACAGCCAGTTCTCAGCTTTTCTGCTTGCTTGTCTACCTCGCCGAGGGACAGCAAAGCGTTTTCCTCACCGCCTGTCTGTTTCAGTGGTTACTATTGGGGACGTCGCCGCAGTTGGCACCATGGAGCCAGAGCACGCCCTGGGCATTCTGCTCCAGTTTATGGACTTGCTGCTACAAGCCTGCCAGCAATGGCTGGAGGCTGACTGGCACCATCTGGTGCACGTCATCCTCCTGCCTCTCCCCCGGCCTCCCTGGGGGCCATGAAGGAGCCACAGCAGCGCCCGGATGCCAACATGCCCCGCAGCATCTGACATCTGGACACCAGCAGCGTGCTCTTGCGGAAGACATTTTTGTGGAAGATGTCTTCCACTAAAAGCTTCTTGCACAAGAAGCCTGCAGTGTAGATATAGCCTGAGTGTTCTGTGCTTTTATTTAGCTCTAATTTACCCCTATATGTCTTCTCATTGAAATTTCCATAGGCTCTTTTGAATATCCAAGCATTGCCCCTTTAATTTGGAAGTAAATAAGCCCTGATCTTGCATCTGTTGAACTTGGTGGCAAAGTCCATGCTGATATTGGTAAGAGCAGGATTGAGCCGTACAAGTACAAAACATTGCTATTATTATGGGCCCAATTCAGTGGAGTAAGATACCACTCAGTGTGAGTAGGGATCTGGTTCAACACTATTGTTCTACGTCCCTAAATCATTTTGGCATAGTATGTACTGACATTTTCTTTTCTTCCAAAAGATAACTTCCCATGACCTCTTCTGTAAGCTTGAAAAATGCAGCATGATTTGTGGTTATCCTGATTTGTGTGCTGCTTCACTTGGGCTCTGTGACACTATTTGGGCGAGATTTGAGGAAGACTGGTTTACCCCTCATTACAATTCTATTTCATTTATTTATTTATTTATTTATTTATTTATGCTTGCTTAGCAGGTCCAAGTTCCATTTAGAACCCAAAGTGCAGATGACGAATTATCACAAAAATGAACTTAAAAAACAACAAATAGTCTAGTAATACCTTAGGGTATGTCTACACTAGCCACCCTATTTCGAACTAGGGTGGTTAATGTAGGCAACCGGAGTTGCAAATGAAGCCCGGGATTTGAATTTCCTGGGCTTCATTTGCATATTGCCGGGCGCCGCCATTTTAAAATGTCTGCTAGTTTGGACTCCGTGCCCGCGGCTACACGCGGCACGAACTAGGTAGTTCGGATTAGGAACGAGGAGTACCGGTAGTTCGGAATAGGAAGCCTAATCCGAACTACCTAGTTCGTGCCGCGTGTAGCCGCGGGCACGGAGTCCAAACTAGCAGACATTTTAAAATGGCGGCGCCCGGCAATATGCAAATGAAGCCCAGGAAATTCAAATCCCGGGCTTCATTTGCAACTCCGGTTGCCTACATTAACCACCCTAGTTCGAAATAGGGTGGCTAGTGTAGACATACCCTAAGGTACCACTTCTTCAGATGACCAGAGTGTTGGAAGTCCAGATCCAAGAATAAATAAGAGAAGGAAGGAGAGGAAAGAAGGAAAAAAATGGAGGGGAGGAAGAAAAAAGAGACAGAGCGTACATAAGCTTCAGAGTGATAGCTGAGTTAGTCTGTAACAGGAAAGACTTAAAAAACACCAAATAGTCTAGTTAGCACCTTAAATACTAAATAGCTACAAGAGGCTGATAAGAAACATTAGTTTGCAGTTGGAAAGGAAGATGACCAACACCAGATTCTACACAAACATCAAGAACCATTAGGACCTTCATTGTTTGGTTGGTTGATAATGTGTGAGCCATCCAATATCATGATTCATGCCATTTGCATGAGAATTAAACTTGTGAATGAAGTTAAGCTCCAATCCTTTTCTGTGTATTTGGCTTGTGGAATTGGTCTGACACAAAACAGCGACTTGGAGATCCATTAATGAGTGTCCAGGAAGATTAAAGTGTTCTCCAATATGTTTTTGTGTGTTGCTTTTCGGATATCTGATTTGTGTCCATTAATTCTTTCTTGTAGAGATTGTCTAGTCTGGCCAATATATATTGCAGTGAGGCATTGCTGGCATTTGATGGCATAGATCACATTAGTGGATGTGCAGTTAAATGAGCCTTTTATTTGGTGGCTGATGTGGTTGGGTCCAGTAATGAAATCGCTGGTATAGATGTGTGTGCAGAGTTGGCATCGGGGCTGATTGCAGGGGTGAGTTCCTGGATGATTATGATGGAGGTGTGTTGCGTGGCTAATGGAAAGAATTTGTTTCAGGCTAGGGGGTTGTCTGTAAGTGAGAATTGGCCTTTCCCTCAAGGCCACTGAGAGTGAGGGGTCATTTTCTAGGAAAGGTTATAGATAGTTGATAATGCGTTGGAGGGGTTTCAGTTGAGGACCGTAAGTGATAAGTAGAATTTTGTTGTTTTCTCTTCTGGGCCTGTCTTGAAGTAGTTCACAAGAATGTTCTTGTGACCCTTTGAAATTGATCTGGAAGTATCTTGAGGTTTGTGTATAACAGGGCTACTCAACTTTGGAATCCCTGGGTGCCACAGTGATACTCACAGCACATGCCCAGGCCTGCAACTTAAGTGTGGTTGCATGTACATGCAAATATATATGCAAATAGCTTCTTTCACACTGACGGGCATGAATACAAAGCACTTCCCACGATGGCCTGACACCTCCTCCTTGGGGGCCAGGCACGCTGACACTGTGTACTCGTCTGTTCCAGCCAGCCCGTCTGCTTGCATCTTTCAATGCTCAACCCCGCCTGGGAGATTCCTTGCTGTTGTGGAGTGTGTTCCCAGTGGAGGCCATATTCAAAGGATCCTACCCACAGGATGTATGTTGAGCCCCGTGTAAACCCAAACCGCACTGTGGTCCACAAACGGGCCGCGGGCCGCATGCGGCCTATGGGCCGCATGTTGAGTAGCCCTGGTGTATGATTTGCATAAGTTTCTGAAGATCTAAGTGCTTACCTGAAACAAATCCACACGTCAGATGAGCGAGATTCAACCTTCACTACTACTGAGTATGCTTTGCAATAGTTGTGTCTAAAACAATGAGAAAAGTCCATCAGAAATAACAAGCACGGAATTATAGTGCCAGGGATAGATTAGAAAAGATGGAGTGACTGCTGGCACTGTCTGTTCTCTTTGCCCACAGAGCTGTTTGTTATTCGGGATTTTCTCTGTCTGGATTTATCTGAAGTCTGACATTCAAATATAAATTGAAATTTAAACTTTCAGATAGAAGTACATCACCTCTTTAAACGAGGTAGTGAGAGTTAATGGTTAGTCCTGCAATGTCAAACAGAAGAGGAGCTAGACTGCAAAGGAAGGAAGTGATATTATATTTGGCAGATGTTCTCAGTCTTCAGAGGAAAGACATGACACAGTAAACAGAATTTCCCACAAACTAATGAAATGTTCTGCAAACTTGCTTGACTGTTCTCTTAACTCCTTGAGGTTTTCCACTCTGAAAATAACTAGCTCTGGAAAGCTGGGAGACAAGTTAATGTTGTTGGAGGAGAATAATAACACAATGAATCCTGTCCAATAAACACTAGATATAAAAACCCTCCAATAATGACCACTAAAAAATACATTTACCATACACTGCATCTTCAGTGACGTGTATATGCAGGCAGCCACTTAAAATCATATCTGATGAATAGTTTAAAGTCAAAGGAAAGAAAGCATTAGATAGAGAGAGAATAAATTGCAAAATGTTTTAATAAATACTAATAATGAATTATGCGCTGAGTAAAAGAAAAAATAGTCATGATGCATTTTGAGTAGATTCGTGAAATATTGGAGGGAAGTGGAGGGTTTTTTTCCCCGTCCCAATTTTTGTTTCTTGTGAAACTGAAAGGAATTCACCCTAGTGTATGAGAAGAAAAGATAACAGTTCAAGCTCAACCTGTCTGCAGTCCTGCTAATTGTGAGTCAGTTTTTGCGCTCAGGTACACCTGTAGAAATTCAGAGAAACTCAATGGAAGCCAATAGTTACTCTGGACATATGGAGGAATAACCAAAAGCAAAAATTGGCCTCATGGCCCTGAGCTCATAGAAATCAATGTGAATCCTTCTATAAAGATTCTATGTAAGAATCTGGAGCAGAATTCATTGCTAATATAGCACCACTGATATCAAAAGATAAACGAAAGGAAAGCACAAGAAAACGCTGGCTCATTGTATTTGTATAGAATGTGTTCTCTAGGATGTTGTTTATATGTACAGCAGTTATATGAATTATTTACTATTAACTAGGAAGAACAACAGCGTTAAATGAATGCAACCTTAATTCTGCCCTCTGGTGTGTACATCCTGTACATTGAGTAAAACTGGGGTCCTGTGGAAGGAATATTATGTCGTTATGTAATTAATGCCAAAGGCAAAATTAAGATCTTGCACAGAAATCTTTCCTATGTTGTGTAACTAGGTTTCATACCCAACCATTTCCCTGTGTATGCCCTGAAAAATTAGTTTCATCCTGATCCCTACTGCCCAGTGCTTAATTTGTAGGGACGAGGTGTCAGAGCTCAAGCAATCAAGTGCCAGACTCAAGCAATTTTTTCTTTAAGTTTTAAAACTGATGTGGCAAGCCCAGAGGTGCCAGGGCCATGAACCGCCATGCCTAGAGGTGCTGGGACTCATACCTGACACAAATATTGCTACACTGATACTGCTCGCACCGTGGGCCAATATCTTACAACAGGGTTACTCAACTTTGGAAGCCCTGGGGGCCACAATGATACTCACAGCACATGCTGAGGGCCGCAACTTAAGTGTGGTTGCATATACATTCAAATATATGCAAATATATTTAAAATATATATTCTTTCACACTGACGGGCATGAATATAAAACACTTCCCACAGTTCCCCAGTGCCTCCTCCCTGGGGGATAGACATGCTGACACCCTGTACCCATCTGATCCAACCAGTCCATCTCCTTGTATCTTTCATTGCTCACCCCACCTGGGAGATGCCTTCCTGTTGTGGAGCGTGTTCCCAGTGGAGGCTGTATTCCAAGTATCCTACCCACAGGCCGCATGCTGAGCCCCGTGTAAACCTAAACCACACCGCGGGCTGCATGTTGTCCACGGGCTGTGTGTTGAGTAGCCCTGCCTTACAACAATCTGGATGAAAGTATCCACAATAAACACCAAAAAAACACACCCTAACCTGCAATCTTAGATAAGAGGTCAAAACTGAGGCCCAATAGTTGCAAAGTACGGAAAGCTTTCACTTCTGCTGTACCTGTTCTGGGGATATATTTGGTAATGGAGTGACTTCGCCTCTACCCCATCTCCTACATTCCCCCTAACATAGTAAAATCGAAGCAAGTCCTCCACACTTTCTTTAGTCTTACGATGAGGTGAACACGTTTATCTTTTCCGCTTCATGAAAGAAACATTTTAGCAAAGTTTAAAATTAATTAACATCACACTGCTAAATCTGAATCCCACAGATTAGATTAAACCTTATCCAATAAGAGCAGAGAAGCCTGATTCTCTGAATAAAAACGAACACATCATCTGCCAGAGATTTAATTGAGAAAACTGCGTCAAAAAGGCAAATTAAATACTAAGAACACAACAGATTTTCCACAAAGAAACACCATGGGAAGTGAAAAACCATCTGTACCCAGAACAGAATGACATTTTATGCATGATAGTAGCCAGATAATGTTTTCTTTTTCATGCACAATCCATGTTAAACATTTTGGTAAAACAGATACATTCATGCACTTTTGCCTATCACCTGGTATTAGGTATAATCATGAAAAGATTCCTGCCAAGTAAGGAGGAAGCTTGTGCAAAACAGATAGTTAAAAATATTATTCAGAATTCCTATCTGGCTTCTAAACTTATAAATAATTCCATATTCGTGTGTTTAAATTACTGCTAACCTTTCCTGAAGTGGGTAGGGTCATATACTATATTAAGCCTTCAACTAAAATTAGCCCCATAAGTAAAAATAATAATAAAAATTACATTTTGCAACATATGTTTCAGAAACTCAGAGATATGATCATCTGTTATTGCCTACACTTGGAAATAACTGAATTCCTGCAATGCAGTCACAGCCCTGTGGCCTTCCAGATTCCACTGTGTTACCTGACACTTACTTCACAGGTCAAGATGCCCAGCCACCATATGGGACTAATGCTACTTTCTCATTATTTCAGTGAAATCTGTAATTGAGATGTGTTTGCGCTGGTGGTGTTAGCACAGATGTGTTAGCACCTGATGTGTGGCGGGGGGGAGGGATCAGACAGATACTCTTCTGTCACTCAGCTAGTCTCTGATAAGGATCAAAAACATTCAAATGGACTAATAAGACACAAGATATCTATTGAGTTACAGAAGGATCAGAAAGCTCCAAACGTGAATTAATTTTAAGAACTTTTTGCTAAAAGCACATGGTGTCCGTGGTGCTGAAACAGTTTTTGGAGTAGGCACACCCCACCACCACCCTGGTTAGCACCCCTCATCACCACCTACTTCTGGCCAGACCACAAGGCAGAGTGGGGTCTGCGCTGAGGATCCTGGGTGACAGAGGCGTGGGGGTGTGGCACGCAAATCCTGGAGGTGCCCCCCCCAACTTCCCACATCTGTGCATGGCTTTATTCTTTCTCCAGAGTTACCCTGTTCTTGTCTTTATACTTCACTTTTCCAAAATGTAGCTAACTTCTTATAGAAAACAGATGAGCCAAACTACCCTTAATAGCCATTGATTCCCATGCAGCCTAATATGATATACACCATACAGTGAGGCTGCCTAGTGAAAATCACTGTTTCTCTGAACTGTCTGTGTGTGCCTGGAATCTGCAGAGACTTGTGTGAATTGAAAATAATGAATGACACCTTGGGACCATTATTTATTTTGAAATTGACGAAGTGCCATTTTCTTTTTGTTCAGGAAATTAACCCCCTACCCCAAAAGACAGCTTGCTTTACACAAAATTAATAAAGCAAAGCATCCTGGCAATGGGAAGCACATGTTCGTTTTTAAGAGATGTCTTCAGCTAGCAAGAACTAGACAAGAAATTGATCCAAAGGGATGGACTCCCAGCGGATTTACTCCCAGTCTGGAACCATTTTCGTATTGTTTCAACTCAGAATGAGTCGAATCTGGGTCCCCCTTTGAATGTATAAAGTTAAGATCCTATTAATGCTCATTCAGCTAGTTCAACTTAATATTTTTCTTGATAATAGGTGGAAGGCTTGGCCATTCAAGTCTAGAAGGGAGTGGAATGGGACAAAATGATAGGGAGTTAGAGACTGAGGGCTTGTGTACCCAGCAAGTTATTTTGCTGCAAGCTATGGTGGAAATCTACAGTGCACCAATGTGTTGCAAAGTAACATCCCGTGTAGACACTGCTACAGCTCACTAAAAGTCCCAGACTGTGGCTTAGTAGACTACAGTAGTAAGTGCCACACAGTGACTAACTGTCTAGACAACCTCTAACTATTGGTCCTCGTTCTATGGCCAATTTGAACCGATAATCTTTAATTAAATCTAGACATGATAGGAAAGGAGGTTGCATTTATGAAGTGAAGGCAGAATTTTGAACGTGTAAAGTCACACTGATTCAGCAATCAAGGTATTTGTGGAGCATTCATTATCATATTATCTGCCCATTTAATGAAACCATGTTTGAAAGATAAACCTGATTGTGACTTCCACTGTGGCCTGTACAGTTAAATTCATATGAATGGAACACATGTAGCCTATGTGTTCCAATATCAACTTTTGCTGGTAACATCGCATAGTCAATCAAGAATTAGAATTCAGGAATCTGAGACCAGTGAATAATTTGCAAGGAAGAATTTGACTCTTTATTCTATTTTTCTGTTTGGGGAGTATTCACTAATATGAACCCAGATGTGTGCGCATTTTGAGCAATGGGTTTAGGTGTATATCCACTAGTTAGACTTTTTCAATAGCTGGCTTTTTACTTCCTCCCACCATCCTGACTGTGTGGATTGGTTGCATATTTTTGAAAAGCCAGCTATGCTGCTCATTTGTGATTGGTTATATTAATCACTTCCCTCTCTCTCTTCCCTGATTGGATCATGCAAGCCCAATGATATTTTATTTAAATTGTTCTTTTCCTGCATATTTATGCCCATAAACTCAATTTGGTTCATTTTCAAAAGGAAAGCAGTAAGCTAACATGGCTCCTCCAAATAAATACTCGTGCATATTTTGTGTTGTGCATTTTTCAGAGGTAGAGTAGAAAGGAATATCTTTGAACAAGGGAGTTCCACCCAAAATGAATGGCGTGGAATTGAAAAACAAATAGAAAGAAGCACTTCCCCAGGAGATGTATAATCAAGCTGTGAAAATCATGGCACAGATGTGAGAGTCAAAGGCTGTCACTGAAGTTAAAAAAAAAACTAAATAATGAATTACCAATAATAACTTTTGTAATTAGGCATGCTAAGTTAAGGGCATTCTAAGGTGATGTGCTTAGTTGCCATGGTGACGAACATGGTGTAAGGAACAGAATAGAACAGAAAGGAGTGATTCCAACTGAACTGCAAGAGAGAGAATACAAGGGCAAGGAAGAAAATCTCATGACAGCCTTAAGAGGGGGGAAAAGATTTTGATAGCATATATAGTTACCGTAAGATTCTTTTCAGGAGAAATGCAATCTAAAGCCTGCATGTGTATGATACACCCATTCTCTAAATATGTACACACATGGTATGCTCCAGTTGAAGAAAATGACAAGATGCCCATTAATTTTTTAGTTCTGTGGGGGAGGTGTATAAATGATGTCATGATTTCTTCATTAAAAAGTTTGCAAAAACATTAGTTCAAATCAATTATGTTGATGAATACAGAATGTATAATTATTTCAAAGTTCTACTTTTGACTTATATTTTACTATCCGATATCAAGAGGCACAGCAGTCCCTACAGCGTGGAGAGAAAGTATATCTGAGGGGTCTGAAGACCGATAAATTATTTCATAAACCTTCAAAGAAAGTGCCTTTTCCTCCCTTTCTAATCCCTCCTTCTCTAATTAAACTCTCACAGGAAGGACAGTGGCTATTCATCCATGATAAAAAACAAGCCTGTCAAATTTTCCCTTGCATTCTATTACACTTAGGATTTCATATCCTTGCAAGAAATGCTGTAAGTAGATTTCCCCCATTTTGGCTTTGAAATATATCCATTTGAAACACTAAGTAGGCACTGCTCTACTCACTTCAGAAATATGGGCTCTGTTCAGCAGAGATGCTTCATTCTGAGTCCGTCAAGACTCTAGGGGCATCAGAGCAGATGCTACGCCCAATTCTGAAGCAAGAACAAAACATACACACGAAAGTATGTTTTCCTCCCCTGTCAATTGCTGTGGCAGGATTCAGTACCAGACTGTCTGGGAACATAAAAGCAAAGTCATGGTGTTATAGGGACTCTGCCATAGATAGGCAGGGAGAGAATTAACACACATTTCATGAGCTGAGAAAGTGTCAACTGTGTCAGCCCTCGTCGAAGATTTAAATGGGGTATTGCCTCTAACCTGACGTCTTTCAATCATGATTTGGGGACTTCAGTACATACATAAGAACATAAGAACGGCTGTACTGGGTCAGACCAAAGGTCCATCTAGCCCAGTAGCCTGTCTGCTGACAGTGGCCAGCACCAGGGGCCCCAGAGAGGGTGGACCGAAGACAATGATCAAGCGATTTGTCTCCTGCCATCCTTCTCCAGCCTCTGACAAACAGAGGCCAGGGACACCATTTCTATCCCTGGCTAATAGCCTTTTATGGACCTAACCTCCATGAAATTATCTAGCTTCTCTGTAACTCAACCAAGGTATGTCTACACTACCACCCTAGTTCGAACTAGGGTGGTAATGTAGGCAACCGGAGTTGCAAATGAAGCCCGGGATTTGAATTTCCCAGGCTTCATTTGCATAAAGCCGGGCGCCACCATTTTTAAATGTCCGCTAGTGCGGACTCCGTGCCGTGCGGCTACATGCGGCACGGACTAGGTAGTTTGGACTAGGCGTCTACCTACCGTTACTCCTCGTTTCCTACTACCGTTACTCCTCGTTTCGGACTAGGTAGTTCGGACTAGGCGTGTAGCCGCGCGGCACGGAGTCCGCACTAGCGGACATTTAAAAATGGCGGCGCCTGGCTTTATGCAAATGAAGCCCGGGAAATTCAAATCCCGGGCTTCATTTGCAACTCTGGTTGCCTACATTACCACCCTAGTTCGAACTAGGGTGGTAGTGTAGACATACCCCCAGAGACTAGGTTTATATTTCAGGAGTGGGTGGGTAAGGTTCTGTGGCTTCAATGTGCAGAAGATCAGACTAGATGGTCATGATGGTCCCTCCTAACCTTAAAGTCTAATGAACCTGTGGGCCTGAATCCAGAAGTAAGAGGGTGGGAATGAGCAGGGGAGCCAACAGCCTGTGTAGGCCTCTGGGCAAGGAGGGGAGGGCAGGTCCACAGTCCAGGAAGGGGTGGGGACAGGGCAGCCAGTCCTCCAGTGCACTTTACTCCTCCCTCCACCCCTAAGAGCCACATGGAGCATGCAATGGTAATTTAAAGGGCCTGGCGCTCCAGCGGTAATTTAAAGGGCCACAGTAGCAGTGGTGGCAGCCAGGAGCTCCCCAGGTCCCTTTGAACCACTGGGCCCTGGGACAACTCACCTCTTTCCCCTCACCCACCCCCGGTGAGTCAATGCATTGTTGAAAGGTCATAACAACAGTGGGATGCTCTAAGATTTGGACCTGTTCTGTAAGGGGGAAAAAATAAGGCTATTTCTTATTTAATCAGTGTAAATCTTGGTGGCTGTGGGACTCCCTTTTGTTTCCATTGAGACAAAGCATGTGGATAACTGTACCTTTACAGCTTTAATTTGAGCTGCGCAAATTTAATAGCTTATTTCGAGTCAATTTTGAAATAGCTTATTTTGTAATTTGGCGCTGTCCATGGATTTAGGCTTCAGTCACCCTGAAATTCACTATGATTACCTCCCAGCAGGTCTGACCAAGCTCAGCTCCTACAGTTTTACTTCTCTCCCCACCTTTCCCAGGGACTATGACTTGTGATGTGATGAATGGGAGGGGTAATACCCTTTTCTGGACATTCAGTTAACTAAAGTCTTTTCACAGTGGTTAACTCTTGAAAGCTAACCCTAATTGTCCTGCCTCAGAATTTAAAAAAGGTTCCCATTAAATTCAATGGTAAACTATCCCCATCATCTTCCATCAGAACAGGAGTGGGTCCAAAATTAGTAGGAGTCATGTGGCTCATTTGCTATGTCCTTTACTGACATTAATTTAACTGCCCGTAAAGGTTAAACCCATAGACGGTGGGTCCTAGAAAATCTCCAGGAATGCTAGAGAAGCAGGAAGTGAGTTAGCAAGAGGCCAGGACAGCCAATGGAAACAGAGTGTGGACTTTTGGATTGGAAGCCGTGACCTCCCTGTTACTGCCTTTGTGTAACCAGAGCAGGGCAGAACAGACATGATTTAAGCCAGGAAGTAAGGCATGGAAAATCCAGTGACATCCATGCCTAGAGAAGCATTAAATCTTGGAACAACAGATATGTGAGTAGAAAAAGGAATGTTTAGTCAGTTGCCATCATGTTATTTTCTTTATTTGGGGATTGGTCTTCTCTGTGCTGAGCACATGTAACTACCTCTTCTACTATAACTCTTCAAACTGAATCCCAGGGAAGCAATTCTCTGTGTTTTCATCCTCTTTTATTTAGCTGCTCTGGCAACCAAGTAATGTTTCAACAAGCATGTTTTCTTTGTTTTGTTAATAAAAATCACCTTTTAAGACCATGATCTGATTTCTGTGTCCGAGAGGGCATGAGGCTCTGTGTGCATATGCCTAAGACTGCAAGTCATACTATTAGGAGAAATTAGTTTTTTAGCCCCCAGCTTCTGCCAAAGAGGGGAATGGCCGTGACACTATATCACTATATACTATATCACTATATACGGTATCAGCCAGGTATAGAAGGTAAAGCATTTGAATACTATTTGTTCTGGGACAGTGGCTTTTCTGCTAGTATTTGAATCCTTTTTTACTCATATCTGGCCAATGTGTCCAATTTCTACTGCATGAGACACTGTATTAAAACTAATTGTATGGACGATCTTTTGTATCTGAATACTTCTCAGTGACCAGACAACTTTCACAGAGCATAGTATGCACAGAAAGCTTACTGGAGATCGTCATCTTCTATGGGGAGTCTGGTAAGTCAAAGTCCTTAAAATTCTTTGCATAGGTTTTCCCTTTTTGTTAAAGGTTTGTGTGAGTTAGGCCGTGATGAGGCTGACAAGTAAACAAGTAAAACCAGTCAGTGCCGCTTTTATAAGTTTCAAAGGTGGGCTATATACATATCCAGCATTTTGCATTAATAAATCCAGAATTTTGCATTCATCAATCCCCAGTGATTCCAAATTTCACAGAAGTCCACCCCAGCAAGTCATGGACACACACATAGATGTAATGCTTTGTGTTACAAAGTTCTGTGAGTGTTTTGTGGGCTTGGCTTGTCTGTAACATCTCGGTCTTATATCCTGTAACTTTAAAGCAGATGAGACTTGTATAGTGAATATAATAGTCTCAAAGTTATGCCTGTGTTTGCCATACCTGTTACAGCAGGGAAACCCAGATACAGGATGAACCTTTCTAGTCTGGCACTCTCTGCTCTGGCAACTTCTGTGGTCCGGCATGTTTTAGTTAGCCAGATGTCTACTTCTCATTGTTGTGGCCAAATTTCCCACGGTCTCATAAAGTTTGTTTACAGCCCCAGTCTTGGCACTCAGTGTTCTGTGCTGTTATTTAGCTCTAACTTACCTCTAAATGTTTTCTAAGAGCCCAGTAAACAGTGGAAGTGTTGATAATGCTGCTAGGCAATATTGACTCTCTGGTTCGGCACCGTCTGGTTCCAAGGGTGCCAGACTGGAAATATTCAGCCTGTAATAACAAGATGAATTTTTTTGAAGATGGAAAAATCAGATTCCATTTTGGGCAATTTTTGTTGTTTTGTTTTTACTTGGTTTGTACAACTCAGAAAAGGTTCCCATTGAATTCAATGGTAAAATATCCCTATCAACTTCCATCAGAACAGGAGTGGGTGCAAAATTAGTAGGAGTCACGTGGCTTATTTGCTGTGTCCTTTACTGAAATTATTTTCTTTAACGTATCCCTTTCCAAAGGCTCAGCCCTCACTGTTGCTCATTTTCCAGGGTTCAGTCCAGTCTGGATGGCAATTTACTGAAGTATAACTCTAATTATTTGATAGCAAGTGAAATGAAAGTCCAATTTTCAGATATCATTACTAATTTCCGACACTGTTTTCAACTCTTCTCTCCTTAAAAATTCTGCCTTTCATGTAGTTTCTGTTATAATTATTTAATCTGTAGGGAGGTTTAACATATTCTCTTTGATATTCCCCCCCTCCGCCCCAAATTTCAGTCAGAATGAGCCCATAAATAGCCTTAGACTGAAGTCTTTTGAAACACCTTCTTACTTTCTTTGATACTTTTAGGATGTAGAGATATGTTTCTTAGTTTGATCCTGATGAAATATCAGTGCACTGTATGTTTCAAGAGGGTGCATTTTTTTTCTAAAATAAAATCCAAAATCTCTGTTCTTGGTTTCTTAGGGCAAATACATTCTCAGCTAGTGTAATTCTATGAAGTTCCACTGGCTTCAAGAAGAGTTTTTATTTTGTTTTCTTAAATAAATTAGTGGTCCACTTGGAGTCTGCTTGAAGTCAAAGGGAATATTTATGTGCTTAAAATTAAGCACATTCATAAGTGCTTTGCTGGATAGAGGCACTACATCAATTTAAACATATTTCCTGGGAGGTATTCAGAGATTGCAGTAGCACCCTGAAGTTCAAACCTTCAGATAGACTTAACAATGTGAAAGTATCGAAAAAGATGAGGGTACTATATATTTTCATTTCCCTTACACATTATGCAGTCTCCTTCTGCAGCTGCATTGCTTGACTACCTAGAAAGTGGTTGTTGGATATTAGATGTATTGTTTAATTGTGACAAGTCTAACAAAGCAAGTGTGGATGTGTATAACTTTGATATTTAAAAAAGGATATTTGGGCATTTTTTACCATAAGTATTGTGAAAGCATGTGCACTGACTGCTATATTAGGTATATATCGATTTTTAAAAGTTAGGAAGTAAATCTAAGTAAATATTATGCCCTCAATTCCACTTGAGCTAGAAAATATTCTTAGTTGTTGGGTGAGTGAATATTTTTAAATGGCATATTTGCAAGCATTAGTAGAGATGTATTTATAGAAATGTTTTTTAAAAAAACCACAGCATTTCTATCAGTACAAAAATGATCATGTGCTGTGAAAGATGCCCCAAAATTACAAATAAGCAAAGTAAAGATAAAATAAAGTCAAATACACTCAATAATTTCAATGTGCTTTTTAAAGACTGTATAATTAAGAGTACTTTTTGTAATCAGTGGGAAAGGACTCCAAAGAAATATAGCCCAAAAAATAAATGAGAATGAACAAGACCTATACTGTTCTGTACTCTGTTCATTAATGTTTGTCGTTAAACCATTTTGTCATCAACTTTAAATGCTGATGTGATAACATTTTTCATATGGAGTTACATAAATGTGGCTAAGGTTGGAGAACTGGGCACAATGTGGAGCAGGCTAGAAGGCTTTAGCTCCACTTTTGCCTCACTTGAGTCTTTTGTAAAGCCAACCCTCTAGACTTCTGGGACTTACATTTCTATTCCTTTAGGCCTGGTCTACTCTAGAGGGAAAGATTGACCTAATACCTTAATTACATAGCTGGAGTTGACACACAGTGGAAGTTCAACGGAAGCAAATGCTGCCATTGGCTTCCCTTACTCCTCGTGAGGAGCAGGAGTACTGGCGCCGATGTGGGTGCCCTCTGAGTTTGATTTATCAGGTCTATACTAGACCTGCTAAATTGAACCCCAGAAGACTTACCATGGACGTGTCGATCTTCCGCGTGGTGTAGATATGGCCTCAGGGCCCCTAATCTCCCACTACTGCAGTTAATTGCATCAATTTTGTGAGCAGTTGTGCTTGAACCAAGGGCTTGCATGCACTTTGTAGGTAGAATAGCTTTAGAAGTTACACTATTCCAGAGACCAGTCACAGGTTAGGGTACTAAAGACTTTTATGTTCTAGTTCCAGATCTCCCACTGACTGGCTCTGATGATTGAAATCCTCTTCCCATTGAAGTAAATGGCCAAATGCCTCCTGACTTCCATAGGATCTGGATTTCACTCCATAGGTATTTCTGCTCTCTAAAAGTCTGTGTAAAATTGTAACTTATTACTTAGTAGATCTGCTCCCTATTGCATTCGGAGTTAGAGAGATTTACTGGATGGACTGCTGGTTCTGTTAATTCTGATTATGTACTTGCAATTATAGTAAGCCCCAAAATTTCTAATTAGTGGTAGTTTGAAAGAAGTCATGATTGTAGAGAATCTCTACAACCAAGGCCCCTCCCCTACATTCAAGAAAAGCTCCCTGAAGTTCAATGTGATTCTGTGAGATGCAGAATCAAAACCAAGCTAGACGTGCTTGCTATGTGTTCTTGTTCTCTTGTCAAGTGACCACGGCTTCATTTGGTATCTTTCAGGGCCATACCGATGTGCAATTCTTCATAGACAATAGGCACCAGAACCATGAATAAATATTTTCCCGGTAATGCAGCTGAGTATACTAAATGAGCTCTCTAAAAACCTTTATTAATGGATTAGGGCAGCAAATCCAACATAATTATCTCTAATTCTCTTACTCATCTCAAGTGGCAGGAGGAGTATTGGCATGACACCCCTCTCCTTCTAAATTGATAAAATTGGTTGCTTTTATTTTAATTTGTTTTCAAAAGCGGCAACTATTGGATGAAAACCAAATACTGTTTTTTTCTCCATCTGTATTCTGTTTGGTCAAACCAATGATTATTTACTTCACCATCTATCCTCTTTTTCCCCTTGGGCTTGCCTGGGCACTAGCCTAATGTCAGGTTTTTGGATATTGATGCATGATAGTCATGACAATGCTTTCATGTTACTGACTTTCTGTTCACGTAGGTTCTTTTCCTTTCCCTAGTCTACCTGTTCTCTAATCTATCCATTTCCATCTCCCTGGGACTTGGGAAATGCTTCTCTTTTCATCTGAACTCCACCAACACCGTTCTCTCAAAAAAATTGAGTTACAGAAAGTTATATTTTAAAAAATTACCATGTGTATATATATTTTGTTTGAAAATTCTATCCCATCGGGACTTCAATTTTTCAAAATCCCCATGAACTAGTTTTTATTCAAGAGCAAAGATTGTGGTGCAATATTGGATATTTGTCAAATTATTACCCAGATAGACCAACATAAACTGGCCTTTATATTTTTATATATATATATATATATACATACACACACACACACACACACACACACACACACAGAAAATCACAATATAGATGTAAGTAGGGTCAGGGTAAACTCTATCCTGACATCTAGTGGCGAACTGTGGCAAGTGGTGCAAAGAGACTTCAGGGGCTGAGCCCAATTTGCATAGACACACCCACCCTGTCTAGTATGTGCCACAGCAGCCCAAATCGTCACTTTGGCCACTGTGGGAGCCCCAGTCTCTCTGTTATTGAGGCAGAGGGGATAAAAGTGTTGTTACCCTGATTATGCGAATCAAGGACAATGGAATGGTGGAACTGTTTATGACAGAGGGATTCGCCATAAACTAAGTAGCACTCGCTAGACAAGGGGCATGGGTTCCAAACCCAGTCAAATTGAGAGAGGTTGGGGACAGGTCTTGGTACCTGGTGGTGGGGCGGCCCTGTCTGAGGGCCTAAACAACACTGATTGTACTCCCTCCTCTCTCCACTGTGGGATATCAGAGTTAATTTAGATTCCATTAGGAGTCTAGTTGTGAGCTGTGGAGCTAACTTTGCTGTGGGCCAGCGCTAAGGCTCCTCTGTTATGAGCTGAAATCACTGTTGC